ATCAGTTATCTCAGCAAAAGTAAGATTTCTATTATCAAATAAGAAAAAATTATTACCATTCTGCAAGGAACAAATAAAATAAAATAGGTCATTCAGTTTTCAGACACACAGACTGCATGACAATCCAAGAATAAATATTTGAACTTTTAAAGCAAATTGCATACAATAAAAGCTATTGTGTAAAAAAAAATTAAAAAACAAGTTGTTACAAATGAGACTTATATGATTCCAGCAACTGAAAAATTCTTTTGGAATTTTAAAGACTAATGAAGACGATTAAATAATAACAGAAAAGTTTTCCGTGTCTCTTTTTTGAAGCAGAATTTAAATTAAAATACACATCTCACTTTTTCTGATCCTGCTTTTCTCTGAATCTTTCTTATTAAAATAGATGAATCGTGTTAAATTACGTTACCTTAAGTTAGTAAATGTGTTTTCGCATTTAGATTGATAATAAATGTAATAATTTTCATAGTATTTTTTCCATATCTTATTTAGAGCCCAAAAATTGAATAAAAAAAATTATAAAATATATAGACCAATTGTTGAGTTATAGAATCTAATAAGCTGAAGTTGTTATAAAATTATGAATAAAAAGTTACAAGATGGATATGTTATGAAATTAATGAAGCATAGAATAAAAGGATAAATATATATAGCAAAATATATGATAAAATTAATTAGGAAACAATTAAAACGATGGTGAGTAATTTCAGATATATACAAATAATAGCGATAGAAGCAAGAAAAATGGAAAATATCGGAATTTTCCCTGACGAATTTAAGAAACATTAAAAAAAGTTAAGCAGCCACAACTTTAAGTTTCAATAAATATGATTTGATGTTATAAAAAATAAATTAACTATACGAAAATAGTAGTGAATATGTCATAGATTTGTTTCTTTATGTCGCTGCTTCAGTAAAAATATTTTTTCTCCTTGTTTTCCTAATAGCACGCATTTTACAGAAAATATTTGAACAAATTTAATGAAAATATTTTCAAATTTTTTTAAAGACTCTCTTATGAAGAAAATACTGTCAATCAAAAGTTGTTCAATATAAAATATATGCAATTTTTTTAAGATATTGTAAGCATTTTTAAGAATACATCTTTTTTCCAAAATAGAAATAATTGATAAAACCTGGTAAAAATGAAGGAAATGAAAATAATTATTTTTCAAACTGAGTAAAATTTTTTTTAATACTTTTATCTTTAAAAATATGTACACTTAATAATGTGATGATTTATATAGGGAATTATTTTTTTAAACTTTGTTTATTAATTAAGATATTCAAAAGAAATTGATTATTCTGAATAATTGACTATTTTATTACTCCAGATTTTTATTTAATTTACAAGAATAGTTTTTATTTGAAATTTTTTTTAATCGAAATATGTATGTAATTAACTGAAATAATTGTGTATGTAAATTTTTCTTCCTCTTTCTTTAAAGAAGGACGAAGTATTTTGTTCTCGTTATTTGAATTTTTCTAGTCTTAAACGAGGATAAAATTTTAACTTAATTCAACAAGCAACTTTTAAAAATATCCATGAGCGCGAAGATTCATTTATGACTTTTGCGAGTGCTGTATTGAGGCGAGCGTACGGTTGCCTCTGAGTGAGGGTTACTAGATAAGGCGGTGAAACAGTTGACAAATAAAACCGCGGCGAGTGGAGGTGTCGACAATGTGTAAAGTCGCGTTCCTGTCTATGCTGTACCATTTAAAAAACAAGCAAAAATAGTCAAATATTTGCAAAATTTACTTTGTAGTTCTTTACCACTTTTTTAATGATTTTGGCGTGTCCGGAGCAGTTGGCATCTCTGTAACTATAACTAAAATATGCTTTTATTAATTATTTAGATTTATAAAAGCCATATTGCCTTGTTATTGGCATCAAGATATTTAAATTATTACAAAAAATAAATCAAGTTTTCAAAAATTTTTTAAATATACAAAGATTAAAAAAGCAATTTTGTTTATATTTATTTCATTTTTAATTTAAAATTTGAAAATTACTTTAATTACAATCAAAAGAGAATTTTTTTAAAAAAAAGTATTCGGCCTAAAATTTGGCCAAATATTCGGTATTCGGCTCCATCACTATTCGTTACATCACTTAACTCAATTAAATTGTTAATTATCCCCAAGATAAATGATTAATTTAATAGTAATTTTTCTATAATAGTTTATCAACCAAACCTTTTACTTATTGACAACTAATGCTTAGCTTAATTTTATTTTATAGCCGTCGCTGACCAGACGACCCAATTTCATGGGTTTACGACTACTGATGTTCAACTCCGTAGCCTTTTAAAATTTTGAACCAATCCAGAAGACTGAACCCTCCTGGATCAGTACGCCCAGATGTATTGATTTGTTATGGGAACATGGAGGACTTTGAGACTCAACAGATTTAACGTGCATCAGTCACCACTTACAACACGGAGAGTCTTCAGCCGGCGAGGGTCGAAACCCACGACCTCTTGGACATGGCCCAAACGCCCTACCGACCAGGCTATCCCAGCCTTGGTTAGCTTAATTGAAAAAATTGCTGTAATAATTATTTTTCAATCTGGGCCTAAGTTGCAAAACTGATTATAATTACGTGGCACTATGTTTTTGCTGGCAGGCTTAAGGGCCACCTACTCTGTGTGAATTATTTGGTTTACTAAAGTCTGCAAATCAAATGTCTTAAGATTTGTCTAGGGGGGAAACCGATCATTAATTTTATATTAGTATTGTTAGATAAAGTGTAGTTTGTTCACCAGGAATTGACACTTGCTCCATCATCTAATCGGACGAAGAGTTCATTTCAGAGCATGAAATACCCGCGTTTAAAATGGAACCCCCGCATAACATACCCGCGCTTTAAGTTAAAACAACCGTTAATGCACGCCAAACACTAACAGTAAATTCTTATTAAGTCACTTACTTCGCTTTATCATCTGCTATTATACCTTTCGTTACTCTATCTAATTAAATATATTTTTAATTTAAAAACGGCTGTGTGCCCAGCAAAATGTTTTAAAAAGGACAAACTATTCACTCAAAAGAGAGAAATATCATTAGATTTATGAAATATTTAATGTTAAAAAAATGTACATAAAGATTGCGAAATAAATATTTTTGTCATACAATCGACAAAAAAAACAAACTTCTTTCAGGATTGTTCACATCCTTCTCTCAAAAATAGCGAAATAGTATCCTCGCGTACCACGTGATGAAGGCGAAACCAAGTGCCAACTTCTGGTGAACGAACTCAGGGGAAGCAGCAAAGTTTTTTTAAATTTTAGGGTAATTTTAGGAACTTTTTTCAAAACATTTTAGGTAAATTTTAGGGGTAATATATGATTTTGCTAGGTTAAAAACAGATCACACGGTAGTTTATTCCATAACAGAAGATTATTACAATTCATCCACACATATCATATATAATTGCAAGCCATAAAATAGAGCTCTGAAATTTATTAAGTCAAGAATGAAATCTCTAAAGTGTAAAAATGAAATTTCAACTTTACATATTACCTATCAGAAATTAAGTGCATAATTCAGGAACAGGCAAAAGTGAGAATAAATCAAGAGAAAAAATAAATTAACACCAACTTGGATTTTTACTTGATTTTTACCTTCTTAATCAAAACTTTATTATTACCCTTTACCTTACTTTATTAAGAAAAACTATTGTGTGATAATATTAGATTTCAAATCAGCAATTTATATTAGAAGTTAGAGAAAAACAAATTAATCATGATCATTTTTCTAACATATTCTTGATATGATTTGTGAGATTCTTTTACTGCCCTCAATAGTGTTGTGGTGATCTCAACACTCCTCCATAATTTCAAATGGTATCTTTGATTAGTCTAAGAGACATAATAGTATTCTCATGGTGACTCACATTTAGCATTGCTTTATTTATCGAAAAACCTCTCTAAGGATCAGAATTCCCATGTGGCAAAATTAAAACAGTTTTAATTAATGCAGTTAAATTCTTATATTTTAGATTATTGCTTTTCTATTTATATTTAGCCTATAACTCTAATTTTTTAGGACACCAACAAAATTTATCAGATTTTTAGGAATTTTAGGGATTGCACATAGTTTTAGGAATTTTATGAATTTTAGGGTGAATGCGACCCCTGGAACTATCAAGACAAAAATGCTGTATAGAGAGGCGAAATATGTACCGAGGGGCTTCACAGAAGGCAAAGCTTGACTAACCCTACCCCTGTAAACGGTACATGAAATATCAGTGTTCAAGAACATTGTCACTTTTTAAAGAAATATTACAAAAAAGTTCGTATTTACCTCGTCCAAAATATAGTAACAATCTCTAAACTGCTGCAAATAAATCTCTTCGCATTTAGAATCATCTCTGTCAATAGCAAGTGAAGATCTTCGTGCCAATAAACATTTCTCTATAATAGATTTTGAGGCACTGTGTAGTAGAAATAACCTAGTTGAAATTAGTGAAACAGCATCAGACATTAAAGCTTCGATTTCTCTATTATGATCATCAGAGTGATTACCTTCGTCAAATATTACGCTGTGCACTATTGAATACAAATAAGAGATTGAAGACGGATATACAACATTTGACATATCTTGGTATGTATCATTAAATAATCTATTTTCAACCATTTTTAAAGCTCTTTGGGTATCTAAAATCCTATTAGGATCTATCTCATCTGCATTTCTAAAAAAGCATTCAACATCACTTATGAAATATTTTAAGTATTCTTTTGAACTCTGGCTCTTGGGATTCAAGAAATTAACCGTATCAATACTAAAGAGAAGTGAAATAAGCTGCTGACGTGTTTCATTAGAGCTATTTATAAGCGCTTTTAAGATCGTATCAATTAGAATATATTCAGGCTTATCTTTATGAATGATTTCTTTTAGCTCACAGATAATTGAACGAGCTTTTAACTCATCTTTGTTCAGGGTAATTTCTACGAGAGGGTGAAGAGAGATACAGTCAGATTCTTGAGTGACTTCTTTAGCGTTTATGAGAACACCGCAGAATTTTTGGGCTCTGTTGTTTTCCTTGATAACTTCTAAGGTTTTCTGAAAGTTCTCCTTAAGTCGCACATGAGAAAAACATACCTATATATAATAAAATTATAATTAAGACCTAGTAATACTTGTCAATGAAAAGTTTAATTATATTTTTTGCCCTGAATTATCCGAGGAAGATTTATTGCATTAAAATTTAAACCAAAGTTACACCTTCAGAAAAAGTTGAGATTTGTGTAACATTATTTTAAGTCTATAAATGTTTATATTTCGTTATTATAGAAATTAAATTATGAATTACGAGCATGAATTATTTCTTTATGCGCCATTATACTTCAAAGTTCAATTGTATTAACTCCATTTATAAAACGCCATTACAATGTAGAAAGCGCCGTTACATTGAAGAAAACACTATATCACTGAATAGGGCCTCCACACGGTTTCTTACAAGAAGTCTGCGCAGAGTACTTAAAAAGCCGACCACTTGTGCGCATGAACCCAAATTCTATTTTAAAAATACTTGAGCGTTTTGGCAGACAGGTCAGTCAAAGAGGGAATTGAATAGAGGCCCGCCATTTAAATAGATAAACAAAAAAAATCACAATGCATACATAAAAAACTTTTATGTTTTCCCTAACCAAAACCAAAATTGATTTAATAAAAACATTTGCTTACCTCCAACGTGAAAGATTTGTGTTTTCTTAATATCCTACGAAAATTTTATATAGAAATTCCTAGTTCACAGATTCTCTTACGATTAATTTGAAAAATAACAAAATAAAATCAACTACAATAATTAAGTAAATTAAACAATTAGGCTAGTTCAAACATTTAGGGTAATTAAAGGGGGAAAAAAGCTTTTATAATTAATTAGAAAAAATATCTCAACTTTGTAAGAAAGAAAATTTAGAATTGAACGAAGGCTAATTTAGAGGCACTAATGGAAATCTCAAGATTCAAAGAAATTCTAACAAGACCCTACTTACAGCCCTAGAAATGTTTTTTTCCTAGAAATTTATGACCAGAAATGAGACAAAAGGGGGTTTCTGTAGATATCTGATATTTCTGAAGTTTTAGGAAAAAAAGAGCCCAAGGCAATATAAAGAAGCTAAACACATTTTCTCACAGTGTAAAGTGATGAGGGGGGTAGCTACGGACAACTCTGCGGGTGGTAGCTACGAAAGTGGGGATATTTTCATGAGAGGAAAAATCAGGGATATTTTCATCAGTGGTTTTCGTTAGAAAAGTGAAGAATAACAATTATTTAATATATGTAAACACTTTGATTAGATTTTGAAAAGCATCCAACAAGAATATATTTATATATTATAGGCTTCAGAGGGCCCCAACTCTGAATAAAACTTTAAAAAAAAGAATAAAAAAGTGGGATCTGGGGATTTTAAATAATTTGAGTAATAATGATTTTCCTTTTAATTTTTGTAATGTTAATTTAATTAAAAATATGATTGATGTATTCTAGGTTTTTATATAATTTTTTCTCTTAACAGGGCACAATTCTAGTCTTAACTGAGCAGCCCCAGTTAAGCATTCTATTAATTTGTTACGTATTTCTTTCTCCTGACTTTTTGCATTTTATTTTATTCTCTATCGGCGCATTGTAATAGAGGGCGTTGTTTTTTTAGTTTTTAGTGTTTTCTTTTCTTCGGCTTGCTTTTGAAATTAATGTTTGACCTGTGACTAAGTGAGTTTTTATTTTTCTGATGGTTTGAGTTTCCTTTCTTAATTTGTTATTCGTATTTCAATGTATATTGTTTATCCTGGACTTCTATACAAAACCATCAGGGTACTGAGGGAGTTAATTTAAGCATTTGCTTCTGCCTCAATTAGAAATGGTTTTGTTCTTATGGCTACCGAGGTCGGTACCCCCTGAAGACGTTGGCTTCGGTGGTCATATTTTTATTTCCTTTATTGAAACTTTTTTCTGAAATTTCTGCTGCTTTTTTGCGCGTTTTTTTCAAAGAAGTTTTATCCTTATAAAGTTTTATCCATCCTTAAAAACGGCTCTGGTGCTTTAGGCTAGGTTCATCTTGAGCAGATTCATTATCGTTACTAGGTTTACCAGTACACAGATCCTTAATTACCTAACAGTAGAAATCTACTTACTCTGTTGTTCCAAAAATGCCATTTAGGGAGAATTTGCAGAATGGCCTGACGATACATCGTGTATAACTTCAGATAAATTTTCCACACAACTTCTTCACTAAACCAAGTATACACTAGTTTTCTAAATAGAAAAAAGATTTATTAGTAAGCAAACACTATGTAGAAATTACGAGACTTTATAGCCATCCCTTATTCATTTGTAAAGTAAACTCTCGATCAACCAGATTATCCCGAATGATCTCAAAAAAAGTTTTCTATAAGTAAAATTGCGCTAACACAATTTACGCCTACCTTGAATCACATTATTATATGTGATGAATTGGAGCAGAAACAATTTAACTAATGATTTTTAAATGCATTTTAGACAAAGTATTTTTTATCCGTTCTAATTAATCAAGAGAATTGTGTTAATAAAAGTGTAGGGAAGGTAGGGTTAGTCTGGTTGGTAG